AAAAAAATAGATCATAACTAAATTTATGCTATTTTTAAGCTAAAATTGTTACATGAACTCTACAGCTTAAGGGATACCATTTGTAGTAGTTATTAGTTAACATTTTAGATGAATAATTTTGTTACAAAATAGTATTGCTAGAGGCAGTTATGAAGTAGCTAGAAGACAGTTATTATTTATATAAATACAAGTTAATTCAAAATCATATAACTGTCAAAGAAAAAATATCACTGTTCACTTATTGGCTCATATCCAGATTTGTATAGTTGTCTACTTTTGAGATATATAAATGGACAAGAGTGAATACTTTTAATTATCTTTATTAGAGCTAGTATAGTTTATGCTATTATTTCAATTTTACGCTTTTTATATATAATAAAATAGAATCCAGCTTTATATCTATCTTTTATACTTTTTTTTTCCTTATGACTTTTCTTATATACTAGATATAATAATCTCTTGAGAATTTTATAATAATCAAATTTTTTACTAAATTCTTTATATAAATCAGAATATTACTACAAAATTTTATTATGAAAATAAATATAGTTATGAATCAGATTATTCTGTTTTGGTATATTTATCTTGGTTTCTAATAATTCTTTTAGAGTTATATCTAATATTTTTTTGAATTTGCAGAAATAAATAAGTCTGCCTTTGGTAAAATTTTGGTTATGTAATTAAATTTCTGACCAACAGCCAAGATGTCATATGTTTTTTCTGTAACTTGTTTTATAATATTTAAAATTTGAGCATCAGTTAATTCTAATATACTTCTTATATCATATGAAGTTTTGTAACTTTGTCAATTTTAATTTTTTTAATTTCTTCTTTAGTTATAGGATCGGTAATTTTTCCAAACAGTTTATAAACATTCCCAGCTCTTTTAGTTTTTTTATATAAATTTGTATCTGATATATTGGGTAAAGAAGCTCTAATTATAGTATAAATTTAATTTTTTGCAGTTTAATCAAAAACACCAGTTTTGGAGCATATATCAGCAATGCTGTTTTAATAGGCTTTTCTGTAAGTATACTAGCATATTCCTTTTTTTGCTTAGTCTTTATTATTTTGCCTTTTGCAAATTCAGTATCAGAAAATAATTGGGCCAACTTTTGTTTGTCTTCATCATTGTTTATTTCTATATTACTATTATAATTTCAGAAATATTAGATTCATTTTGTGAGAATGCTTTTTTATCGCTTGATAAGGTAAGAAATTTTTTAATAAACAGAGTTACTTTTTAAACTATATGGGGTGGAGTTAATAGAAAAGAAACAAATTTTTTTTAAGTAAAAGTTTTCTTGACTTTATTATTATTTTTTTTTTAAATTCGGCAGTCTTGCCAATACTATTTATTAGTACACTAAGGCATTTGGTTACAAATGTCACATGTACAATTACAATACTCTAATCTATTACGAGATATTGGCTTACTCAGTTACTAACTTAGTGACCTGCTATATGAGATTTTACCTCCTTAATAACTGCCCTGCAACTAGATCAATTACTAAATCACTGGATGGTTCCCAAACCTATTTTTATCATATATATTCTGCTTATATACTACTATACAACGTCCACCAACCAACTTCTATCTCTCATCACTTATTACATTACTCCTAATTTGGTACTTGTATTACTTCCAAATTGGTGTCCTTTGAGTAGGTGCTCTTCATGCTTCTAGTTTGGTGTCTCTAGAAGAGTTACTTTATGGGCCTAGCCATATCTCAAACAATTAAGTTGCCAAACTAGGATGATATTTCACATTGATTCAGGTATTTGCATCGTATACTACCAAATTAGGCTACCGATCCTTTTATAGTACTCCCTATTAGTATAGTGTTACAGAAGTCTAGATCCTTAGAACGGGAGTTATGTACCTCATTTAATCACTGTTACAAGCCAGTAACCCGGGACCTGCGCTTCTGCCATATTTTGTCATAGATTTCCATATAGGTTGTTCTCTAGCTTGTCTTTATTTTCGTACTACCAGATCACTTGCTTCCATACTTTTCGTGGTTTCTTTTAGCTAGTTTTCCTTGTTTCTTTTCGCCAGAGGTGTTCTATATTTGGTAAAGCCATCCTCTTACCACAGCCTCTTACTATATTCACCACTTTTCTCACTACTTCTGGAAATACCACATATAGCCATCCTCCCAATCAAGATCCCAATGCTGCCTTAGAGTTGTTGGTGCTACCTTGCCAATCATTGATTCACACGCACTGCCTTCTGCAGTAAATCTTCTGTGACCTATGTCACACACAGTACCCAGTCTTCTCCATGGCTCAGGGCTCTTTTCAAGAATTCTTTATAGACCAAACATATATATCACATGGTCTTACTGCCGCAGGGTTCCGCATTCGAAAGCTCCCGAAGGTTACAGAGATAATTAATTAAATTAATTATTACTAGCTATAATCGAACTGTCGACCTCGTCTGTGGAGGGTTAGGCGCCTAGACCATTAGGCTACGGGATCTTAACCCTATTTTCTTGACTTTAAGCTTAAATATCTTTGCAATTATCTTATCAAATTTAATAATTATTTTTTTATTTTAATTCTTTATAATTTTAAAATTAAAATAAAAAAATTT